GGGGGGGGTGAGAGAGGGGTGGGGGTGATATTAGTAATATTACTAGGATGCTTCCACACGCTTAGCACAGTTATGCCAGGCTCTCCGGTCCCGGGCTACGCACCTTCAGTTAGTAGCCAACACAAATATTACCCCACTCATTTTTACTCTTCAGATGCAAATGAGAATTTGTGGATGGTGAGGCGAGTCCTTTTAACAGCTTTTTTATAATCTTTAGTAACAAGAGCGATTTTTTGTTTTTCGTTCGTATATTATTTCTGTACTTGCGAAATTGATGGAGAAGTACGGGCGTGTTTTTTGAGGCAGATAAGTGAGTATTCAAGTGACAAGTATACACATATACAAATAAGTACATGTATTTAGTCAAATGTACAAGTGTGCAAACAAACGGTTATTTAGTCTCCGGTATACAAGTAACAGTCAAGAAGACGTGAACTATAGTGAAAAAAATGTTTATGATAAGAACGATCGAAATTTTTTTTTTTCAGCTGTGAGGCAATGCATGTTCTATCAATCGGGTACGTGCAGCTATGGCGCTCGATGTCGATTTGCTCATGGCGATGAGCCAACTGCGGGTACGCAAGGTTACAACGAAGATCGTGGGAGAGGATTCCGGCGTGGCGGCCCTCCTCCTTTCAGAGGTGGACAGCGACGTGGAGCTATGGACGGAGGATACAGGTTAGCAAAACACGCCTTTCTGGGCAGCAAAAAAGCTACCGTAAAAATCCATAATTGGCGCTACCAACGTAATAAAAAAGCTCAGGGCAAGGAAGAATTTTCACAGCGTGAAGCACGAAGTTGTGGGAAATAAACATTGCGTTAGTGAGGCACGTGCAAGCGTACCTGCAATAACGATCGGGATCTTACCAAACGATAATTTTTCAATTTTTGGTTATATTTTAGACGGGGACGTGGAGGTCCTGCTGTTGGCCGTCGAGGATTCTACGATCGTGATCGGGACAGAGGTCGCGATAGAGATCGAGATTACGATTATGGCCGCCACAGTTACGATCGTTACGAAAGACGTCGCAGAAGAAGTTGGTCGCGGTCGAGGAGCCGTTCCAGGTTGCATTCTCTGGATTTTTGAATGAGTGTGCATGATGAAGGGATGTAAATTTTATCCAGCAAAGAAAAATAAGGCTGCGCAGAAAGGTAATTAGAAAAAATGAGTGCTTTTGTTTGATTTTTTTTAGCCCTTCTACTTACGAGATTGTTGTTTTTTAGGTCAAGATCGCGATCACGATCAGAAAGTCCGTTTGGTAGGCGGAATTATTCGCCTGATCGCCGTAGGTACGGAAGTCCACGCAGTTTGCGCGGACGGGATAGAGAAGAGCGGATCGAGAGGCGTCAGCGAACTGATGATCGTGGACGTGATCAGCATAGTGGCGGTGGCACGGATACCGTCCGTGATCTAAAGCAGCAGACTCAAGAACATCCAGGAGAAGAGGCGCAGAAGCTGAAGAAAGTGGAATCCGAAAAGGATACGAAGGCTAAAGGGACGAAAGTAAATACGGAACAACAAAAATCGCCACC